CTGTCCATGTTTCGATCGCTGGATCGAACACATCGATTCTTCCGATACGTCCAGTGGCCATCCTCGTCGCCAGATATGTTGTGTATTCACTCGAATAAATGAGATTTATAACTCAGCCATGCGGTTACAAACTATTTATTACGGAAGTAACATGAATAACATCTAAAACCGAAAACGTACAAATCTACAGAATTCCGGAATACTACAATTTTAGCACCATAAAAATAAAGGCAAGTAATTTTTTTTCGCGTATGCATGGAACTTCTCACGAAATAAAGTGATAACTAATTCCATGCGTATATTTAGGAATGTGCAATATATTGTATATTTTTTCCTCTCAGTGAGAAGTAATGATTGATTGATTGATTGTATATTGGTTATCGTCACTCTTGAGAATTTTTCACTCATATGGATAATGGAGACATTATATGTATATCACATGGCTTCGAGGGCAACATACCAGAATATTTTGCCCCGAGGTTACAGGAAAACCCTGGAGTGTTATCAGTGGTTATATCACCAGATGCTGACATAACACTCCAGGGCTTTCCTGTCACCGAGGGGCAAATATTCCGGTATAGTTGCCCGAAAAGTCATGTGGTATATGCTATATGACATTTTTAAAATTTAAAAAAAAAATGAAATCATTTAAAATTGTTGAAATTTTCACAAATAATCCAGAAATTAGTGATGGGGAATCGGAAAAAAATCTGAATCGATTATCGGTAATAATCGGCTGGGCATAATCGATTAATAATCGATTATAATCGAAATTTTGAACTTTAATAAAATTAATATAGAAAAGTTGAAACTTATTCAGATTTCTTTCAGACTTTTACAAAAAAATTTTTACTTACATAAAATATTCAAAAATGTTAATTGAAATTTCTTTTATAAAAAGTGGAAAATAATATTTTGTTTACTTTAAACAATACAGGACTATATAAGACTATTTAAACAGAATGGGAATTTATAATTTTTTTTAAAAAGTCCGTGCAATGGGTATTTTACTGATATTAGTCCCACCTTTCATTTAACCCATTTCCTTCTGCAGCCAATTCAGCTGGGCTTATCAGTAGTACGGAGGATAACAGAGCTGCTGCTGAGAATGCTAAGTCAATTAGCACCATGCTTACATTCTGCCGGATAATTAGATAACTACTGTCTAGAGACATAATAAAGTATATATTTTCTAAAAGCTCTTAAAATTCTGCATCTTACAGTATAATTTTCAGAATGCAGAAGCAATATTATCCTCAATAATACTTTGAGTAAATAAAAGAAAATTTGTAAACACAATTTTTTGTTTTAAATTATTTTTATTTACATGCATTTTACTCAAATAAAGTGAATGTAAACAGCACATTTTTTTTGCATAAATTCATAAAACAAATATTTCTGCTTCAAATACAGTTCACAGAATAAAAATATCTTGAAAAATAAAAAAGTTATTACATTTCTTGAAAATGGAGTATTTCTTGACATAAACATCATTTATTTGCTTTGCTTTAAATTTACTATAGCCAAGAAAAAAATTATTTTAACAACAAATTTTAACTATAACAATCTGTTTTTAAAGTATTTATATTGTAAGATAATGAATAAAAAGAAATATCTATTTTAAAAAGTTCAAACTTCAATGTACTTACATAAAATTTATGAAAAAAAAACCAACACTAAGTCCTCAGAATTATCCATTTGAACAAACATTCCTATTAAGCACAATTCACTTGTTCAACATTCTCATAATATGTTTTGAGCTGCACTCTAAGTGCACTGGAACACCACACTGCTGGCACCCAAATTTTGTTACTCCTTTTCTCTGTCCCTGCGGCCCAGAAAGTGAACACTCACGACACACCTTGTTCTTTGGGAACATTTTCACAATGTCGTGGGCAGTAGCCCTGCCCCCACAGTCAACTTTTGGTGGCTCCCTTCTAGCCCTGGTGTCACCAATCAGATCTTCCACCAGTTCCTCGATAAAGTCCTGGAATCCTGGCCACCTCTCCCTCGCGGCGTGGGTGTGAATGTCCTTGGCGACAATGTATGCGTTATGGGCCGATGCCATCATCAAGTAAAAAAATATGCGGCGCCACCATTTCTTTGACCTGTGGTTTAGCTGGTAATACCCCACCATTTGATCACAGAGATCCACTCCTTTCATGTTCTTTTGATAATCAGCCAGCATGAGTGGGACTTGAACGACACGATTCTCAGCTGCTCTCCTTGAAACTTGACCACGGTGGGTTGGATCATGGAAGTTGGAAAGTACCGTCACTGGTTTAGTGTCCTGCCATACACAGTAAGTCAGGTTGTCTTTCTGGGCAACCTTGAATTCATGTTTCTGAAGACCAACTTTGCTTGGTAGTAGGTGTTTAGGAAGACCTTTTCTATTCACACGTACCGTTCCACAAGCCATGATTCCCCTGATGTGAAGGTCGTTCAGAAGTTCCGGACTTGTGTAAAAATTGTCCATGTAGACACACAAGTTGGATCCAAAATAATGATGGCACAGGTCCATTACAACTCTATGAGTAAGTCCTTTTTCTTGGTTATTTTCTTTCCCTGTGTATACTTGAAACTTGCTCAAGTATCCGGTATCACTTTCAGCAAGTGCCCAGACTTTCACTCCCCATTTTACTGGCTTTGCGGGTAGGTATAGCCGAAACGATAATCTGCCCTTAAATTTGATCATACTTTCATCTACCGTCGCATTCCCATAGGGCACATACATTTCTTCAAATTTTTTATTTAGGAAGTCCAATAAATAACGGATCTTCCACAATTTGTCGGGTGTGTCTGGCTGAATTTCGTTATTCTGGACATGGAGGTATCTCCAGATCAAAAAAAATCTGTCCCTGGACATCACTCTGTTGAAATTTGTTACAAACATCCATCTGTTTTGCCTCCAGTAGTCAGCTTTGTCTGGCAATCTGAGGATGCCCATAGCAAAACATAGGGCTAAAAACGCCTTGATGTCTGACTTGTCAACGGGCGTCCATTTTGGAGCAAACGGAGGGGGTGGGGTTTTCTCGCGCTCTTGTTGTGCATAATTGTTCGTTTCTTGAACTAACCTGTCTAGAAGTTCGTTAGTCCAAAATAACTCGAAGTACTGGCCGGCTGACGCCTCTTCCGGATGTTCAACTGTTGCGCCACCGATTTTTCTGAAGACATTTCCAATACGTGGATGAAAATTTTCAGACGTCCACTCGCTCTGAAAGCCTAAAAAATCGGCTTCGTCATTGCTGTCCTCCTGAAAAATGTTGTGTATCCAATCATCAACATCTCCACGAATGATCTCTCTTTCTACATCTGCAATATTCTCCTCTTGTTCCTCATAATCTCCCTCAATATCACTACCATCGCTCAGTCCTTCTTCTCTGTCCGCCATTTTGAAACTACGATCGCGTCAGTGACTCGGATTTCCTTTGTTTTAACCAAAATTTCCCCCAAAAAAGAGGTATCTAGTTTCATTTTTAATGCGCATGAGCAAGGGAAATTCCCACTGTCTAAATCATGCAAACGTTTTATTCATATGGGGCTTTTACATAGTAATTCAAGGGCCTCTAAGACGCTTGTATGAAAACAACGACTGTAGTGGTACGCCGAAGATAGCACACATGACGATAACAGTCGTACCACGAAGGAAATGGGTTAATACATGTATATTTTTCTTAAAATTAGTTTTAATTAGTTAAAATAATAAAATTGCAAGTCTTAAAAGTAATTATCAGAAGTTAGACTCGTATTTATGATAATAATTACGTTTAAAGATTGACTAGACTAATTATGGTTTCCTTTGTATAGTAAAACCTTGCAATATTAGCGTTTCCTGGTATTAGTCTAACCCCATATTTAATCATGGCGGTAAAAGTATCAATAAGACACGGAATCCTTCCATGTTTTCAACGTTCATCACTACTTTTATGCTCTTTGCACATGGATTTGGTAATAAAATTAAAGTATGACAATTTTATTTTTTGTAAGCGATGTCGGCGACATTTATTTTATAATCGATTAGTAGCATCGAAGAGCTTCCAATGACCGACAATCGATTGTCGGCGACAATCGTTCCATCACTACCAGAAATACTTTCTTGAAGTTAAGCATGTTAAGAATAACGCTCCATATTGTTTACATCTGCTTAGCAACCGACATCATAACAATTTGAACCCGAACTAAAATGCTTAATGTAAAAACACGTGAGCTTGATCGAAAGGATGACAGAACTGTTTCTGTCGGAGTTGACATAGCTGTTTCCGGTGTGACTCGGCATTTTTCGAGATTTATAGTGAATCTTTTTACACAGTGTTTCTGCTAATTTTCAAAACCAAGGGTCATTATGACCCTTTGATATAAACTTTTGGGGGTCAAAAAGATTTTTTGAGGGTCAAATTAATACATTTGTGATATCATAAGAAAATTTTTTTCGAAAATGTTTTATCATGGTATGCAAATGAAGGGATTCAAATAATTTAAGTGGTTTTTGAACTTATTATTTTTTTCAGAAGATTTTTTGAAATTAACATATGACATATAAATATTATAATGAAAATATGAGAAGAGTCCACATTTTGCAATTTTAAAAATTTCTGATCGCACAGGGCGGTTATAAGGCATTATTTGGTATACAACTAATAATAGCACATTTCAAGAAATTTTCAAAATTATGACTTTTCTGGGGGCAAAAATTTGCAATTCAGCACATAGTTCTTTCAATTCTGTGACTGTTATGAAAAATATTGAAAAACTCAAATAGAAAAAAAAATTACCTTGGTAAAAATGTTGAGTATCTTGCAAAAATATTATTGACCTGTTTATGCACATGATGAAAAATAATTATGGTCAAGGCACTGAGCAAAGGGGGATAACTCGTTAAAATACACGTGTTGTGTACATTTTCCCCATCCTTCCTAACAATTTCTATAATTGATTTATATACTGATTTCAGGAACATGTTGTTCAAGGAAAAAAAGATTATTATTACATTGAAAAGTTACCTGCTAGATGCACTCAAGTTGAAACAATCACGATCTAGGGCAAGACGTCCAATTCGCGGCATTTTTGGTGTATAAACAAATCGAAATGTCGATCCCGATGTTAATATAACTTACAGAACACATGACACATTGTATCCACTGGGGCTCGCTTTAAAGAAGATAAAACTACACAGAAGACCAAAAAGGTTTAAATGATTGAAAATCTAAACAAAAAATAAAGGTTCTGTTAGAAATTATTTGCAATAATACATGTATGTAATTTCAGTTAAAAAAAAATAAATTTCAAAAACATTTTAAAAAATTGAAAATTCTTTGGTAAATGTATGTATAGAAAAGAAATTTGCATGTATTTGCAATATTTGAATCCTGTTTAGCGTGAAGTAAAGGTCTTATTTAAAAAAAAATCGATTTTCAATATTCTAAGTAAATTTAATTTGCAATCTATCAATCAATTAAAAATTTAAAATATTATTCATGCATCTATCCAAAATCTTTTCCAGCTATAGGTTATCTTTTAGGCATAATAAATGTAATAAAGTTAATCCATTGGCGGATCCATAAGGAGGAGGTCCGGGGGGTGAACCACCACCCCTTTATTTTTGTACAAAGAGAGAGAACGTTTTTTTCCTTGAAATATAGATATTTCTACGTTAAATTATTTGAAAAAATAAAAGAATCTCTGTCCTTTCTGCATGCTCACTAGATCTGTAGATTTTCACGTATTTGTTTTCCTCCGTGTACCTTCACAACCCCTACTAATGGCTCCGACCACCCACAAGTAACATGCTAGGAAGATTCGATCGTCGAACTTTATCAATACAATTTTTGAACCATCGATCTTCAGAAGTAACTAACTTTTAGAAGTATGCATGAAATACATGTACATGCATCTTTAATCAATGAAGAAAAGGTTTAATTTTCACGTATGCAGATGAAAGGAACCCACTTTTTATGCGAATAATATTTTGCTGTAGTTTTGATTTATATTTTGATTTGGAAGCACTCTCCACATTTTTTGTGCCAATGAATAGGCAAATTATAATATTTAAAAGTAATGTACCCAACAGAAAAGTTACAGGAAGCCCCCTCTACCCCCTCCCCCCAAAGGGATTTTAGAGTCTGGTGCATATATAGTTTCTTTAATTAATTTTTTTTTTGTTTTTGTTTAGATTTTTTGTTTTGTTTTGTTTGTTTTTTGTTTTGTTTTGTTTGTTTTTGTTTTGTTTGTTTTTTGCTTGTCAACTGTTTTTAGAGGTATTTCTTCTAATTATAAATTAAATGAAGCTACGGACTTGAGGTGCCCGTTCTGTGATTCTATGCATGAGTGCTGGGGGCATCGACCTGGAACCCCCCCCCCCCCCCTTCAAAATATCGCTGAATCCGCCTCTGTAATCTATCATAATTACATTAAATGAGAAAGACAAACTGCAGAGTCGATATGTGCGCGTTGCTTGGTTGTAAAAAGTATGTGTAAGGAATAGATTCTTGTAGCAAAAGCTTGTAAAAATATAACATGTGTATTATATGAATATTATATGTGCATGGTATAAAGATAAATATGTATTGATGCATTGTTTATAAATACCTGTGTATTGATTGAATATTACAGTTGATCCTCGTTTATCCGGACACTTGTAAAATAGGTAGACGCCTTGACAGTAAGAGAATGCATAGGCGCCGGATCCGGGGGATGGGAGGTGTAAGCCCCCCTCCCCACTTTTTTTTTCAAAGATTAACAACATATAATCATTGAATATTGGGGCTTACATTTTTTCGTTGGCTTAGTCCCTCCACTTAATTAATTAAGTTGCTTCCGACGCCTATGCAATGACAGGATAGCAAGAATGGATCTTAAGCCCCCTCCAATCCAAACGAAGTAGGGTTTTTACATTTAAGTCCATCATTTTACATTCAGGTCCATCCTCGGAATTTGCAGAGGTTTACATTAAACCAAGTAAAAGTGAACTTGAACCCCCCCCCCCCCCCCCCGAAAACGGTGACCCCTCCCCGAAAACACGAATCTTTGTTATATTGGTATTAAAATTCATTACTATGAAGCTTTGAGAAAGTGAGAAAGTTATCCACTCCCCCTCTCCATGAAATAGGATTCACGTTTGGGAAATGACTTTGCGTGGATTATTTTGTGCTTTGTTTTTGTTTTTGATTGTCAAGAAATATCTAGATTGGAATTTTTTTTTTTTGGTTAGGGTGGACCCCTCCCCGCTAGAAAAAAAAGTCAGGATCCGCGACTGAGAGGTGAACTTTTTCCTTTCCTTTATTCTGCGTGTTTGAGTGGAGGGTTGGGGCGGATTCCCCTCTCTTTTAAAAATAAAGATCTTAAAGATCAGCGCCTGGTTGGGAGGTACATATATAATTATAACTACTGAAATGTCACTTCAATGAAGAGCGGCAAACATTTTTGAAAAAGGTAAAGATAAAAAAAAAAAGGAATCAATATAAAACACCCTTAAACAATGCATCATTATGACAGATGTGTCAGACGCTGTGGTATCTTTCACTTCCAGTTCACCGGGATATACATTGTATAATATCGACATATAAGAATAGAAATAACCATTTAAATCGACAGTATGTCGTCAATATATGAATGTCAAGTTGAAGGGTACAACGAATGTTTTCCTCTTTCAAAACATAAGATTTTGGACATATTATGCCCATTTGAATATAAAAATAGGTCTTCTAAAAGAGGGGCGCAATTGGTACCCCTAGGAATTCCAAAGATTGTTGGAAGACAAGGTCTCCAAAAAAGACATACGAACGTTTTATTTTGTTGATAATGGTAAAATTTTGTGATTTCAAATGTTCAAAAACTTCTTTGGAAGCTTGATTTACACCACTTCTCGAATAAATTGTTCAAAAGAAGATCCCGGGCCGGAACACATAATATTATAGTATCAAAATTTTTCATTAATACACAACAAGATTGTCACTTTTCCTAAGGATTAAGAATAAAGTTAAAATTTGTGAAAGTGCAAGGATATGTCAATCAAACCCGCCAAAAAAATTTAAATTTTAATAAGTTTTAAATGAAATAAGATTTTTAAATTAATTTTTTGTGTGAAATGCTATTAAAATAGAAAAAGTCGTAATATTATAGAGAAAATATTAACTTCAAATCTGTGTCCAAGTACCTCTAAGGACATACGCAAGATACCTTACCTACTGATAATTTTTCAAGGTACTCCTAATTTAAGATTATAGTGCCATCAGATGTTCATAGTAAAAAATCAGCATACATTACCAGGGGTTTTTGAAAGATAACAGATTATAAAATTTTTTTGCATGTTAAAAATTACGAAACATAATTTTAAGATTTTTTCCATCAAAATTTGTTTTAGAAGGAAAATATTTTGATCGGGATTAGCCAAAATTAAATAAAAATATTTCTCTAAAATTTGACTATTTCGTTTTAATTTCTTTTAAAAATATGATTAATGAACATGTTCTCCCCAGTTGTGACTGGTTTTAAGAAGATTTTAACCACAAGTTTAAAAAAAAATATTCACAAATTATGTGTTTTATTTCCATAAATATTTTTTATAAAAAAAATTAAAAAGTCTAACCAGCCTTTCTTTACATATTTTATTACGTATTAATGTGATGCATTCATTCACAGCCAAATTTTTACAAGAAAGCATCTAATTTGGATGTAAATATTTTTTTTCATTTTCTTTGAAAAAATACCAAACAAGAGGCCCAGGGGCCACATCGCTCACCTGAGCAATTGGCTAGGAAAAGGCACACATCAGATCAGAACTAAAAGTTTACTGAGCGGGGGGGGGGGGGGGGGGGGTCTTGATTTTTAACCCAACAAACTTGAATCTAGACTACCTGAGGATGATTCCCTATAAATATCACTAAGCATGGTTTCAAAGTACTTGAAAAAAAGGTTTTTAAAGGTTTCCATAGACATTCCAATGTAAATCTTTTATCGGCCATTTGGCCCCACTCTACTGCCGGGGGTCATGATTTGAACAAACTTGAATCTACACTACCTGGGGATGATTCCACATGAGTTTCATCTTTCCTGGTTCAGTGGTTCTTGAGAAGAAGATTTTTAAAGATTTTTCCTATATATTATTATGTAAAACTTTGATCGGAAATTTTGGCCCCACCCTAACCCAGGGGGCCATGATTTGAACAATCTTGAATCTACATTACCTGAAGAAGATTGCACATCAATTTTATCCTTCCCGGCCCAGTGGTTCTTGAGAAGAAGATTTTTAAAGATTTTTCCTATACATTCCTATGTGAAAATTTGATGGGCCATTTTGGCCCACCCTACCCCCAGGGGGTCATGATTTGAACAATCTTGAATCTACACTACCTGAAGAAGATTTCACATGAGTTTCATCTTTCCTGGTCCAGTGGTTCTTGAGAAGAAGATTTTTAAAGATTTTTCCTATATATTCCTATGTAAAACTTTGACCGGCCATTTTGGCCCCACCCTACCCCCAGGGGTCATAATTTGAACAAACTTGAATTTACACTACCTGAGGATGATTCCATATAAGTTTCATCTTTCCTGGCCCAGTGGTTCTTGAGAAGAAGATTTTTAAAGATTTTTCCTATATATTCCTATGTAAAAACTTGATCGGCCATTTTGGCCACACCCTACCCCTGGGAATCATGATTTGAACAAACTTGAATCTACACTACCTGAGAATGATTCCATATGAGTTTCCTTTTTCCGGGACCAGTGGTTCTTGAGAAGAAGATTTTTTAAAAATGTCATTAATTTTTCTCTAATTCATAATCATCCCCCCTTGGAGAAAGGGCGTGGCCCTTCATTTGAACAAACTTGAATCCCCTCTACCCAAGGATACTTTGTAGCAAGTTTGGTTGAAATTGGCCCAGTGGTTCTTGAGAAGAAGATGAAAATGTGAAAAGTTTTCAACAACGACAACGCCAACGACGACAACGACGACGACGACAACGACAGACAACGGACAAATTTTGATCAGAAAAGCTGACTTGAGCCTCTGGCTCAGGTGAGCTAAAAAATTGTATAAAATAATTAAGAGCTAATGTCAGCCTTTCAATGCTGA